TCTGGCACCTCACGGCATGCCGGCCACGTAGCACTCGGCTGCGAACCATGGAACTTTCCAGAAAGCACTGGAGATGAATTTCGGCAAATGCCAACCAACCAAACAGTTCGCCGTCAAAGAGTCTGAGCCTGCAGTCGCTGAATAGACTCCTTTGTTGTCATGAAGGAACTGCGTATTTTGTGCCTGCCGTACGGTTAGCAGAAATAGGCGTTCATGCTGAGCGAACCGTCTGTGTCCCGCCGCTGGCCGCTGGCCGTTTCTGCCGTCTGTAGTTTTATTCTTGTGTTTACAGCCAGCATTACACAGTCGTTCAATAAACGCATTATGTTCGTGTCTCAGTTTGTCGTCGAAGCTGTTTACCTTTCTGGTTTAGACGCTGAACGATCGCCGTGTATTATGCAGAGGGAAATCGAGTGCGTTGGGAAAAACTGTCAGTCGAAATGTGACAAAGAAAGCACCAGTCTGTTGACCAAGTATTTGGTTGTTGCGAGCGGCCCATTTTGGAAGTGTGCAATGGGCATGGCGTACGAGCAGAGAACGGGAAGCAAAAGAAAGCAAGGGGCCACTCGATATAGCAAACGGTCGTGTAATTTGTCTGAGACTTGGCTTTCGTCTGAAGTTTGACAAGGATGAAGGCACATACTCACTTTTTTCGTTAATACAACGAAAATACACAAAAACAAATAGATTGAGGATGCATAGCAAACATTCTGTCTATCATATAAACATCAACGTATGCGTATTCGCTAGAACACGAAAGATAACGCTTGCGATGATTTTTTCAAGACCAGATTGAAATAGATGAAACTTGGTCCGGAAGGAGGTATGCGTTATCTGACATACGTCGGAGTACGAACATACTTTGACATTTATGTGGGCGTATGTAAGGAGTACCAGTTCCTGAAGTACTGTACATAATGAGGACAAAGTGACTCTAGCGAATAAGCTGATGCATGATACATCTGACGGTGCAGGAGCTTTAATACCGTAGAAATGTGTCGATCTTGCTTCAATTTTATGACCAGGCCATTTTGACGCCTTTCTTTTCATGAAGTTGATGATTCGATGCTGATAGCTATTTCTCTGTCACGGTGTGCCTCATTTTAAAGGCAGATTCTGTATCCATGTAGCATGCTGGGCTTGTGTTTCCTGTTTCCGCCCACGGAGTGGCACTCATTTATCAACCTCTGGGGTAATAGAAACAAATGACTACTGATTGGAGCTTGAACTCGGGACTCATCGGTTCTAAGTTCGACGCTCTACCGACTAAGGAACGCCGGTCTAAAGCAATGCGTGGCAAGTTGCATGCTGAAAGGAATTCATGAGACAAGACTGCCCTCGAGCCAATTCAAACCCGGCACCTCCGGAGATCTAAGCAGACCTCTTAGATCCTGTGCCAATACGCCATTGCTTAAGTACTACATAGTCACGGCCTGCTTAAATGAACCCCACGGGCAACTAGTAGCAAGGGGAAGGCGCAACACGTCGTGAAGTCTAGTCTTGGAGGAGCTATGCCTGAACTATCACATAATATCATGCAATAGGGTATGATACATAATGTTATATAAAGCACA